CAGTTCAGAAAAAGACATGTACAGTATGTAGATATGTGTATTATGTATGCATGATTATATTTTTAATGTATATGTATGGATGTGCATATGGAGAGATATCTATGTATTTATACATATGTGTGTGTGTATAAATGTTCTTCAAAAAGTTCATGGAAAATCCATATTAGAAAAAACTATCCATGGAGTTCAAAACTTTTTTGTATCACAATAAACTCATTCTAGCTTATTATAACATGTCTGAACAGGATCCAATTTAAGGCATTAAGAAGGTAGGAATATCAGTTTGAAAAAGACCCTATCAGAGCAACATGAATTTTGCTGAAGTTGAAGCAAGAACAAACATCAAATGTATAGTGAAGCTTGGGTGGAGGAATGGTGAAATTATTGATGCTTTATGAAAAGTTTATAGGGCCAATGTCCCAAAGAAGTCAGCAGCTTACAAATAGATAACTTGTTTTAAGAAGGGACAACATGATGTTGAAAATGAAGCCTGCAGAGGGGACCACCTACATCAATTTACAAGGAAAAAAATTCATTTTGTTTGGGCCTTAATTGAAGAGGAGCAACAATTAACAGCACAAATAATAGCCAGTGCCATAGACATCTCAACTGGTTCAGTTTACACAAGTTTTTTTTCTTTTTGAGATAGAGTCTTACTGTGTTGCCCAGGCTGGAGTGCAGTCATGTCTCCAGCTCACTGTCTTGGCTCACTGTCACCTCCACCTCCTGAGTTCAAGTGATTCTCCTACCTCAGCCTCCTGAGTAGCTGGCATGACAGGTGTGCACCACCACACCTGGCTAATTTTTTGTATTTTTAGTAGAGACAGGGTTTCACCATGTTGGTCAGGCTGATCTTGAACTCCTGACCTCAAATGATTCACCTGCCTCAACTTCCCAACGTGCTGGGATTACAGGTGTGAGCAACTACACCCAGCCCAGTTTACACAACTTTAACTGAAAAATTAAAGTTGAGCAAGTTTTCCCATTAATGGGGGCCAAACAAATGTGCCAGATCAGCTGCAGAAAAGAGCAGAGCTTTCAAAAACAAGTGGGTCAAGATCCTGAATAATTTCTTTGAAACACTGTGACAGGAGATGAAACATGGCTTTGCCAGTACAATCCTGACAATAGAGCACACTCAAACCAACGGCTACTAAGAGGTTGAAGTGGTCCAGTCTAAGCCAAAGCAGATAATCAAGAGCAAAGTCATGGCAACAGTATTTTGGAATGCTCAAGGCATTTTGTTTGTTGATTTTCTGAAGGGCCAAAGAATGATAGCATCTTCATATTATTAGTGTTTTTGAGAAAATTAGCCAAAACTTTAGTAGAAAACTGCCTGAGAAAGCTTCACCAGTGAGTCCTTCTCCATCACAACAGTGTTCTTGCTCATTCCTTTTATGAAACAAGAGCACTTTTTTGAGAGGTTCAATGGGAAATCATTGGGCATCTACATTTTTTTTTGTATTTTTTTTTTCTTTTTTATTGCATTTTAGGTTTTGGGGTACATGTGTGCATCTACCTTAAAGTCCAGATTTTGGCGACTTCTGGCTGATTTTTGTTTCCTAATCTTAAAAAATCTTTAAAGGACACCCATTTTTCTTCAGTTATAACGTCAAAAAGACTGCATTCACATGGTTAATTTCCAGGACTGGATGGAATTTCCAGTTCTTTAGGGATGGACTAAATGGCTGGTACCATTGCTTACAAAATCTGTCTTGAGAAAGAGAGAAGAATCAAACAGATCAAAAAATATGATAAAGGAGATATCACCACTGATCCCACAGAAATACAAACTACCATCAGAGAATACTATAACACCTCTACACAAATAAACTAGAAAATCTAGAAGAAATGGATAAATTCCTGGACACATATACCCTCCCAAGACTATACCAGGAAGAAGTCAAATCCCTGAACAGACCAATAACAAGTTCCAAAATCAAGGCAGCAATTAATAGGCTAACAGCCAAAAAAAGTCCAGGACCAGACGGATTCACAGACAAATTCTACCAAAGGTACAAAGAGAAACTGGTACCATTCCTTCTGAAACTACTCCAAACAACAGAAAAAGAGGGAAGTCTCCCTAACTCATTTATGAGGCCAGCATCATTCTGATACCAAAACCTTGCAGAGACACAACTAAAAAAGAAAATTTCAGGCCAATATCCTTGATAAACATCAATGTGAAAATCCTCAATAAAATACCACCAAGCCAAATTCAGCACATCAAAGAGTTTATCCATCACGATCAAGTCAGCTTCATCCCTGGGATGGAGGGCTGGTTCAATACACACAAATCAATAAACGTAATCTATCACACAAACAGAACCAATGACAAAAACCACATGATTATCTCAATAGATGCAGAAAAAGCCTTCAACATAATTCAACAGCCCTTACGCTAAAAACTCTCAATAAACTAGGTATTGATGGAACATATCTCAAAATAGTAAGAGCTATTTATAACAAACACACAGCCAATATCATACTGAATGGGCAAAGACTAGAAGCATTACCATATTACCTTTGAAAATTGGCAGAAGACAAGGATGCCCTCTCTCGCCACGCCTATTCAACATAGTATTGGAAGTTCTGGCCAGGACAATTAGGCAAGAGAAAGAAATAAAGGGTATTCAATTAGGAAAAGATGAAGTCAACTTGTCTCTGTGTGCAGATGACAGGACTGTATATTTAGAAAACCCCATTGTCTCAGCCCCAAATCTCCTTAAGCTGATAAGCAACTTTAGCAAAGTCTCAGGGTATAAAATCAATCTGCAAAAATCACAAGTATTTCTATACACCAATAATAGAGAAACAGAGCCAAATCATAAGTGAACTCCCATTCACAATTGCTACAAAGAGAATTAAATACCTAGGAATACAACTTACAAGATATGTGAAGGCCCTATTCAAGGAGAACTACAAACCACTGCTCAAGGAAATAAGAGAGGACACAAACAAATGGAAAAACATTCCATGCTTCTGGATAGGAAGAATCAATATCATGAAAATTGCCATACTGTCCAAAGTAATTTATAGATTCAATGCTATCCCCATCAAGCTACCGTTGACTTTCTTCACAAAATTAGAAAAAAAAACTACTTTAAATTTCATATGGAACCAAAAAAGAGCCCATATAGCCAAGACAATCCTAAGCAAAAAGAACAAAGCTGGAGGGATCACACTACCTGACTTCAAACTATACTATAAGACTACAGTACCAAAACAGCATGGTACTGTTACCAAAACAGATATATAGACCAATGGAACACAACAGAGGCCTCAGAACATCACACATCTACAACCATCTGATATTTGGCATATCTGACAAAAACAAGCAATAGGGAAAGGATTTCCTATTTAATAAATGATGTTGGGAAAACTGGCTAGCCATATGCAGAAAGCTGAAACTGGACTCCTTCCTTATACCTTATACAAAAATTAACTCATCATGGATTAAAGACCTAAATGTAAGACCTAAAACCATAAAAATCCTAGAAGAAATCCTAGGCAATACCATTCAGGACATAGGCATAGGCAAAGAATTCATGACCAAAACACCAAAAGCAATGGCAACAAAAGCCAAAATAAACAAATGGGATCTAATTAAACTAAAGAGCTTTGGCACAGCAAAAGAAGCTGTATCAGAGTGAACAGGCAACCTACAGAATAGGAGAAAATCTTGCAAACCACCATGGCATGTGTATATCTATGTAACAAACCTGCACATTCTGCACATGTACCCCAGAACTTAAAGTATAATTTTTAAAAATGACAAAGACGATATCACCACTGATCCCCCAGAAATACAAATTACTGTCAGAGAATAAACACCTCTATAACACCTCTATGCAAATAAAACAAAAAATCTAGAAGAAATGGATACATTTCTGGACACTTACACCCTCCCAAGACTAAACTAAGAAGAAGTTGAATCCCTGAATAGACCAATAAAAAGGTCTGAAATTGAGGGAGCAATTAGTAGCCTACCAACCAAAAAAAGTGTAGGAAAAGATGGATTCACAGCCAAATTCTACCAGAGATTAAAAAAAGGAGCTGGTACCATTTCTTCTGAAACTATACCAAACCATAGAGAAATAGGGAATCCTTCCTAACACATTTTATGAGGCCAACATCATCCTGATACCAAAACCTGGCACAATTGCAACCTACAGAAAGGGAGAAAATTTTCACAGTCTACCCATATGACAAAGGGCTAATATCCAGAATCTACAAAGAACTTAAAGAAATTTACCAAAAAAAAAAAAAAAAATCCCATCAAGAAGTGGATGAAGGATATGAATAGGCACTTCTCTAAAGAAGACATGCAGCCAACAAACATATTTTAAAAAACTCATCATCACTGGTCATTAGAGAAATGCAAATCAAAACCACAATGAGATAGCATCTCATGTCAGTTAGAATGGTGATCATTAAAAAGTCAGGAAACAACAGATGCTGGAGAGGATGTGGAGAAATAGGAACACTTTTACACTGTTGGTGGGGGTGTACATTAGTTCAACCATTGTGGAAGACTGTGGCAATTCCTCAAGGATCTAGAACTAGAAATACGATTTGACACAGCAATCCTATTACTGGGTATAGACTCAAAAGATTATAAACCATTCTAGTATAAAGACACATATATGTTTATTGCAGCACTGTTCACAATAGCAAAGACTTGGAACCAACCCAAAGGCCCATCAATGATAGACTGGATAAAGAAAATGTAGCACATATACACCATGGAATACTATGCAGCTGTAAAGAAGGATGAGCTCATGTCCTTTGCAGGGACGTGGATGAATCTGGAAACCATCATTCTCAGCAAACTAACACAAGAACAGAAAACCAAACCCTGCATGTTCTCACTTGTAAGTGGGAGTTGAAAAATGAGAACCCATGGACACAGGTAGGGGATTATTACACACTGGGGCCTGTAAGGGGGTGGGGAGGGCGAGGGGAGGGATAGTATTATACCTAATGTAGATAATGAGTTGATGGGTGCAGCAAACCACCATGGCACATGTAAACCCATGTAACAAACCTGCACGTTCTGCACATGTACCCCAGAACTTAATTTTTTAAAAACCATCTTGAACTTTATGAAACTTATATTGAGAAATAAAGTTTATATTTTTTACTTTTACCTTTAATTTTTCCATGAACTTTTTCAAGTCTCCTTATATCTATGTGCACATACATAGAGAGATTTTATATGTGAATGTTTGTACTTAGAGAGAGATGTATATCACTATTTTCATAGGAAGGAGGATGCTGAGGCTTCTCTGCTTGAACACTTTCTTTTCCAAGCAGAAGCTGACAACCCTTCTCCTCTTCCCTGAATGAGTCCCAGAGTTTCTGAATCATCTCAACCATTTTGCATCTAGTTCTTAACTATTCGCAGCTAGTTCTCAGATTTGACTGCACATTAGAATCACCTGAGAACTGTGACGATGACTGCTCCTAGGGTTCTACCTCCAGAGATTCTGGTTTCTTGAGTATAGATCTTGGCTGGAGTGGGGTTGGAGTAGCTATTGTGTGGCCGGGGCATCAGGATTTTTAAAGATCCCCAAGTGGTTTTCTTGTGCGGCCCATTTGGAGAACCACTGATCTACATAACACATCCTCTCTGAACTGAGCTCAGAGCCTGGTGGGTTTCTGGGTGTTAATCATCTTCCAGGTCTCTGGCCTCATTTTGTGACTGCAGGGAGCATCCTCCCTCTATTGGCAGCTTTGTAGTCCCCATCTGGGTGCAAGAGACTGCAGGTGCTTGGAAGTGTCCATCCTGGAGTCATCATCAAAACCATCTACTTGTTTTGGGGTTATTCCAACTTTTATTTTAGGTTCAAGGGTACATGTGCAGGTTTGTTACAATGGGTAACCTGGGCATCGTGGGGATTTAACGTACAGACTATTTTGTCACCCGTAATTACCATAGTACTTGACAGGTAGTTTTGCTATCTTCACCCTCCTTCTATCCACTACCCTCAAGTAGGCCCTGGTGTCTGTTTTTCCTTTCTTTGTGTCCATGTGTACTCAATGTTTAACTCCCACTTATGAGAATATGTGATATTTGGTTTTCTGTTCATGTAATATGTTTAGGATAATGGCCTCCAGCTCCATTCATGTTGCTGCAAAAGACATCATCTCATCCTTTTTTATGTATGCATAGTATCCATGGTGAATATACACCGCAGTTTCTTTATCACGTCCACCATTGATAGGCATTTAGGTTGATTCCATGTCTTTACTATTGTGAATAGTGCTGGATGAACATGTGTGCATAGGTCTTCAGGATACCATGATTTATATTCCTTTGGGTATATACCCAGTAATGGAATTGCTGGGTCAAATGGTTGTTCTGTTATATGTTCTTTGAGAAATCTCCAGACTGCTTTCCATAGTGGCTGAACTAATTTTTCTAATGAACTAATTACATTCCCACCAGTAGGGTATAGAGATTTCCTTTTCTCTGCAGCCTCACCAACATCTGTTATTTTTTGACTTTTTAATCATTTCCATTCTGACTGGTATGAATACCTCATTGTGGTTTTGATTTGCATTGCTCTAATGATTAGTGACATTGAGCAGTTTTTCATATGCTTCTTGGCCCTATACGTATCTTCTTTTTAGATGTAGAAACATCAATTTTTTGCAGAGTTTCTATAGCTCAGCTTAGCACTAGGGAAGTGGGTGGGGGTTGTTAGGTGTACCGTGGGAAGGAGACCCTCTATAAAGAGAGCAGGGTGGGAACGAGCCCCTTGTTTTCAGAGTCTTTGGTTTTTTTTCAGTCAACACCCCTGTTCTATCCCAAAAACTTAGGCCTGTTTCTCTAGCAGCCTGGAAAATGTAAGTGTAGCGAGAAATACCTGTCTGCACCTGAAACTGGCAATCAGAGCACAGGGCCCTAAACCCCAGCACGGAGTGGTCTTTCCTACAGCTTGGACATGCCCTTTGCTCCTTCCCCCTGTAAGTCACCCTCCTTTTACGTTTTTCTAAAGAAAGTTATTTTTTCCACCTTGGAATGCCGGCTCGGAACAGCCTCTGGCATCTCGGAAGGCAGTGTACAGGTGCTTTTCATCTCTAATTGCCCCTGCTCCCCCATTTAAAAGAAACATTTTCAAAGCAATGGGAGCAAGTTACTCATTCAAATGCAGTTAACAAATAACAGGACTTAAGTGTGTAATCTGAAGTTAGTCAGCTTTGAAAATTTGCCCCGAGGAGTTAAAATTTCTGCTTCACTGGAAATTAGAAGAGAGGATGGGGGATGGGGGGATGTCCTTATGAGAGGAATTTTCAGCCCCTGGAATTTTATGTCTGATCTCCCTCGCATCTGAGCTGGAACGTGAGATCCAGAGCAAGATTGCAGGAGAGGGCGGGCTGGGGACAGTTCTGGGGCCTGCAGGTGTTCAGTTTCTGTGCCAACCAGCAAGGGCTTCTCCCCCTGCGCCAGCAAACACCCGCCAGGACTTGCTGGAGCCCATGTCAGTGGAGTCAGCTTATAAATTACTCTGGTTCATCATTCCACATTGGATCGAATCACAGAGCATGGAGTGTAGGGGTGCTGCAGCCTGGGCTTCAGGTGGAGGGCTTTCTGGAGGATCTCCACAAGCAAAGGCTGACCACGCAGTCATGACAAGCCACAGCCTCCAAGAGAGCACAGCCCCAAGCCTGCATCTTCTCTCATGCCTCAGGAGCAACTAAGCCAAAGGCTGGGAGCCTGGGCCCCTTCTCCCATTTCTTTTTTAATTATTGCTTTTTCTTTTAATATATATTTCCTGGCATCCTGTACCGTGAGAAGCAGGGACAGCAATGTCCTCTAGGGAGGCTGCACATAGTAAGTGTTCAATATAGTCAAGTGTCCAATAAATGTCAGTTCCCTTCTGTGGTTTAAGAAAATACACAGGCCCCCAGGGCCATATGTAAGAGATGTGACCCTTGAGTCCTAAAGTGGGGTCAGTAATAAGGGAAGGAAAATGAAGGAGGTCCGGACTCCTCATTAGGTAAGAAAAGGGACTTCACCTGTGCCTGCCAATCACAAGGACTCTCAGGTTTGGCTCTTTTGTGGACAGGTCCAGGCTTAAAAGAGGACTCATGGTGTAGGAATTCTGAAAATATTTATTAAAGGAAGAAAGGATGATTCAGTTAGAGGTGGGAGGGAAGGGGCCATAACTGAAGGAAGAGGCAGAAGGAAAGGGCTTCGAGTTTTCACTGAAGGTGGCTCCTGACCCTGTTGGCAGAATTCTGAGGAGGAAAAAGTACATATGTAATGCCACTTACTCCCCTTCAGAGCTTCAAAGAAGGTGTGGGGAGGCTGAAGGAGAAAGAACAGGAAGGGAAGAGTCAAGGCTGAAGTGCTCAAGTTCTCCCATTCTGTGCTAAGAATAGCAGGCTCTCTTCAGGGGAAATTCAGTCCCCCTTCCCACTATGGACCTAACCTCATCAGGCTCTCCAGCCTGCCCCAGACCACCCACCAACAGGGACGCAGGAGAGTTTGAGAGTGAATACATTCAAGGCCCAACCCCAGTACTTTACATATCTCCCCTCCAAATCTAGAAACCAATGCCTTGGCTCCCTATGATCCTACGACTTGGCTTTTTCTGCATAAATCTCCTTTCAAAATTCTTATCTTAGATCCAGTTGATACTGATTGACACTTTTATATTTTAATTAAATTTGCATTTACCCATTGAGTTTCATACCCAGCCTCATTCCAAAAACGATTGGAGGCAGCTTCTAACCCTTCACTGTGATAACCACCTCGATAAATCTGCCTTACCACCCCCATTCACAAACACCTGTATCCACGTCCACAAAATATAGATAATCTTCATAGTTTAATTGTAAAACAACACACAAAACACCTTTGAAACCTGGCTCCAAGTTTTAAAATAGGTGCATTATACTTTGTATGCTAGGGAGTTTCAGACAGGATTGTGTGTCCTGGCTACAGAAATGTAGTCTTGTGGGAGAGCCTGGTCTGCTGCATCTGGGAGCTGTTGAGACATGCTGGGATCCCCGTAAGTATGCCCACTCCCCACCCAGACGGGATGCTGATCCAGATGCTGGGGTTTGGATTCAGAATTTGGGACGGCCTGGAGTATGACTGCTTTGATTTTCTTTCCTTGTTATATCTAGAGAAAAAGAAGTACACAGGTTGTGTTGAAGAGCAGAGTCTTGTCCAAACCAGGTATTTGGAACATTGGAAAAGGGAGATTTTCCTCCCTTCCAGGAGCCCCTGCAGCATCCCAGGCCCTTTCCAACTCAGTTTCCAACTGAGTTTGCCAACTCAGGCCCTTTCCCAGACAAACTTGCCCCTTATCCCTCGGGGAGTCAGTTGATCCCAGCTGGAACTGTAATCCTTTGCTAAAAGGCCTCTTGGCCAAAGCCCAGCTCAGCAGGGAAGGGTTCAGCTTTGTCCTTGGGGGGCTTCTGCAGGAGGTCCCATTCTTGGGGGCTCCAACACTGTGGGAATCTGGCAGGTGCCCCTTCCCACGTTCACAGAGGTTGCTTTGCAGGGGTTTGAAACAGGACTTTCTTCTCTGGTGTTTATTTCGGTGAAATTCAAGAAAGTCCACGTGCAGTTTCACCCTGGGATAAAAGACGATCTTCTCTTCCTACCAGCAACTCCAAGCAAGATCCTCTCCCCAGCCCACAGGGCTACAGAGAAGGCAACGGGAACAAAGAAAGGGCATTTTACTCCTTGTTATTGGTTTTGAACCTAAAATGTGTAATTATCTTCTGCAAACACCTGAAGGACTTACGTAAAGCTCATCACAGGAGAAGGTATTTAAATAGGAAAGGAGGCAGCGTCTTTTGCCGGAGCAGGGAGCAGAATACTGTCGGAGCAAGCAAAATACTTGCTTTTGAAACCCCAGATTGACCTTGGAGGAGGAGGAGGAGAATAGCCTGCTGGCCTCCATGGGTGAGTCCTGTCGACACTTGGCATCCACCTTCCCATTCACTTTTCACAGCACTCTACGGTAAACCATTGCACAGACAAAGGAATGGAGGCTCAGAGAACTCGAGTAAATTGCCCGGAGACCCACAGCTACTCAGTGGTAGGATCCGAGTTTGAACCTAGGCTGGGTAATTCCAGAGCCCTTAGCCTTAGCCACTACACAAGACTCTTTCCCATATTATCACCACCCTGTCAGCCGTCCATTCCCTAGCTAGTAAGGCAAAGCAAAAGATACATGGGCTAAATGAATCTCACCCCTCAGATGGGCTAAGTCGCACAGCACTTTTGTTTTAATTGAGAATGTCCTTCAATGAGGTACAAACTGCCTGTTACATCCTATCTGCTTTGTGCATTTATAAATTTTGCCTGACCCTGGTGTGCAATTGAGTTTGCGATTCCAGGACTGCCACATTTCTATATGAAAAATGTCAGCTCTGTCTTATTTTGATAGTGTTAGGTTTTGGGGGGTGCCTTAGGAGGCTAGGAAGTCTTCTAAGTCACTTCTGAATTTAACATATTTATAGAACTGTTACAAGCTGATTGGGAATGTGGAAGCATGCTCACCAAAGACAGTTTTCCAGTTGTGAAGACAGTCAATGGTAGCTTGATGGGGATAACACTGAATCTGTAAATCACTTTGGGCAGTATGGCCATTTTCACGATATTGATTCTTCCTAACCATGAGCATGGAATGTTTCTCCATCTGTTTGTGTCGTCTCTTATTTCTTTGAGCAGTGATTTGTAGTTCTTGAAGAGGAACTTCAATCCCTGGTTAGTTGTATTCCTGGGTGTTTTATTCCCTTTGTAGCAATTGCGAATGGCAGCTCACACATGATTTGGCTCTCTGTTATTGGTGCATAGGAATGCTTGTGATTTTTGCACATTTTGTAATCCTGAGACTTTGCTGAAATTGCTCTAGTGATGAGCTTTTCCTTGGAACTTGAGGCTTTAGGAGAGAGTAGAATGGGCTGTTGAATGATAACAACAACAAAAAGATTTTCATACCTTTTTCTCTCATTGTTTTGTTGATGACAGATGCAATCCCAGATCACAGGGTTCAGCAGAGGAGCTTTTCTATTTCCTGGAGTTCACTGTGCCTTGGAGAGGGCAGGGGCACTGCCCTAGGGATTGTTATTTCAGACAATAATTTCACCCTACAAAGTGAAGGCAAGACAAAATGTCATTTTCCTTTTTATCTGTCATAAAGGCGCATTGGACTTGTAGAAGGTGCGTGCCTTTTAGACAGTAGGTGGACCAGGTAAAACCTGGATTCAAATCGAGCTTTTTCTGCTTCATAGCTGTATGACCTAGGACAGATTACATTAAGTTGCATTTTTGAGTCCTCATCAGGAAAATCAGATAAAAATGCAGACTTTATTGGAGTACCGTAAGGATCAGAGGCAATTTGAAAGACCCTATGCAGGACCCCTGGAAGACTATCAGAAGCAACGTGGGACACGCAGCACCACCCATGCTGGCCACTGGCTTGCACAGCAGGTCCTCAGATAATGTCATCTCATTTTTTCTTGTTTTGAACAGAGTCTCGCTCTGTGGCCCAGGCTGGAGTGCAGTGGCACAATCCCTGCTCAACCTCCTGGGCTCAAGAGATCCTCCCACCTCCTGAGTAGCTGGGATCACAGGCACACACCACCAAGCAACGGCTAATTTTTAAACTTTTTGCAGAGATGGGGGTCTCACTATGTTGCCCAGGCTACACCATGTCATTAGAACATGGATGAGAAAAAAAATCCATTCCTGCTGGGGCCACAGTCTGTGTGGAGTCTGCTCTCTCTTTCCATGTCTGCGTAGGTTTTCTCCAGGCTTTCCCACTTCCTCCCACATCCCAGCGATGTGCACGTTAGGTGAACTGGTGTATCTACATCATCCCAGTCTGAGCAATCATGGGTGTGGGTGAGTGTGCCCTGTGAAGGAATGGCATCTCTCTAGGGCTAGTCCCACCTTGCACCCTGAGCTGCCAGGAGAGGCTCTGACTACTCATGACCCTGAACTGTAATCACTGAGTAAATAATGATCTTACTTGTTTTTATTAATAAATGCATGTAAACCTCACATTTATTTCAGTGTTTACTATTAGAAGTGTTTTGAGTCTTTATCTAGAAGTTTGCTGATGTTTCTGTGATCTGAAACACACCGTGGGAACTCAACTCTTGTTTATAGCCATTAGTCAGTGGTAAAATTGGTTTTTCCTAAAGCTGCAGTTCCCAAGAACCTATGGATAACATTAACTTACTGTACCGTCAAGGTCGAAGGAACTGCTCTATTTCAGAATAGACGGCTGGACTTCACAAGAGTAGCAGATGCCACATAGCACATCGCCTGAAGTGGTGCTCAGAGGGTCAGGTTTCTGGTTTTCAATTATTAAAAACACACAAACAACGAACATCACCCTCTCCTACCCTTCTCACCCCACGTTGACAAAGCCAGCTTCAAACCCCTGGGTGAGAAACCTTCAAATGGCAGTTTGCTGCCCTCTGCTGTCCATGTTGAGAAGTGGGGGGAAGATGATTTGGGCAGTACCGCCAGCCTTAGAAATCCAAGGCGCTTGGGCGCCCTAGAGGTGGGGGAGCACTGGGAAAAGCCACATAATCGGAGGGGTCTAGTGAACCATGAAAATGTGGGACACTTTGTTAAAAACAGTGAGAATTTCAAGACAGCAAACAGTATTAAGCTAAGCTGTGGACATTCGTGAGGGTGGGGCCTGTGCCACCGTGCCCCACACTCTGAAGCTGGCTTTTCCTCATTATTCCCTGCTCCTGACATTACACTTTAGGGCTACGACAGAATGACAGAGTCTCAAGGGTTCCCTGAAGGAGTCTAAGTTTAGGAGAATATATGGAGAGAGGAGTTGCAGATAAGGTTCTCCATAATACGCCAGGCTGAGGGGAATCAGTTTCTCTTGGCTATGATGCAGTGGTAACAAAAGTCTAACCTTTTTTCTACTTCCTTGCTATTGGAGTTTGAGAAAGAAAAAAAAAAAACAGGACACTTTGTCCCAGCCTGGGAACCAGTTCAGACTCAGGGGTTAGACAGATGGAGATTAAAATATCACCTGCATTATGAAACAGGCTACCCTGGAGGACAGAGCTTAGCAATGATAAGAGTGCTAAAATGCACTCCCCAGTCTGGGCGTGGTGGCTCATGCCTGTAATCCCAGCACTTTAGGAGGCCAATGCGGGTGAATCTCAAGGTCAGACATCAAGACCATCCTGGATAACACAGTGAAACCTCATCTCTACCAAAAATACAAACATTAGCCAGGTGTGGTGGCACGTGCCTGTAGTCTCAGCTGCTTGGGAAGCTGAGGCCAGAGAATCACCTGAACCCAGGAGGCAGGGGTTGCAGTGAGCTAAGATCACACCACTGCACTCCAGCCTGGGCAACAGAGTGAGACTCCTTCTCAAAATAAATAAAATAAAATGCACTCCCCAATTCCACCAGGAGAGATCCACACAAATGAGTGTGGGCCGACTGCTGTCACCCACTAGGCAGGTAACTAGGCATACTTCCATGGGGAGGATTAAGGAGAAGAGCTAGATGCCAGGAGGACTTAGGGGAAAAGCCCTCTCTGTGGAAACCAGAGCAGTGGGGGGCAAGTGTCCCCCCGATATTAGTCAGGGGCTAGCTAGGAAGATAGACACCACTCCAGGTAGTTACAACAGAGAATCAGATGCAGGGAATTGGTAGAGGTTCTGGGAAGAGGAGGCCCAAGATTCTCAGGAATACAAAGTCCCTGTCATTCGTAGGATGAAGGAGTGAAGGGGCAAGGTGCTGTTCCCAGATTCCCAGCCAGATCACTGGCAGGAGGCAGAACCTATGAGGGTCCCTCTGGCAGGACCTAGAGCTATGAAGGAAAAAGAGCCACTGCTGGAGATGCCACCTGAGATGGAGAGAGAGGGCATGAGACTCCCGCTTCTCCCTTCTTTCCACCGTTTGATACCAGAAACTTTCACTGCCCACTCTCAGCTGAAAGGCAGCTGATTGAGCTCCTGGAGAAAACAGGCAACAGGGCCGAGTTCCCCTGCGCTACAAAGGAGGGGTGAGGCAAGCTGTGGACATGGGCATGGAGGATCTAGGGCGCTCCCTTTATGGTGATGCCCTCGAAGGGCTTCCCATGCCCATGGTACAGAATGTGAATTCCATTCCATACCATGAGAGCTCTCACACAGTCCCAGACCACTTTATAAGCCACATTTCCTACCACTTCTGTTTCTGGATCTGTCAGGTTATTTCACACTTCTAGGCCCTTAGCCTTGCTTCCTCTTCCTCAAACACACTTTGCCCACATCATCCCAACTCACCTTGTCCTCTTGCCTTCTCTCTTCTCTTCCTCTCATTTCTTGTCGCCTGGGCTGGAGTCCAGTGGCATGATCATGGCTCACTACAGCCTTGAACTCCCGGGCTCAGGTGATCCTCCCACCTCAGCCTTGTGAGTAGCTGGGATTATAGATGCACACCACCATGCCAGTTAATTTTTTAAATTGTGGGGTTTTTTTGTTTTTTTGAGATAGAGTCTCGCTCTGTTGCCCAGGCTGGAGTGCCGTGGCACAATCTTGGCTCACTGCAACCTCTGCTTCCTTGGTTCAAGCTATTCTCCTCCCTCAGCCTCCCGAGTAGCTGGGGTTATAGGCACGCATCACCATGCCTGGCTAATATTTATATTTTTAGTAGAGACAGGGTTTCACCATGTTGGTCAGGTTGGTTTTGAACTCCTGACCTTGTGATCTGCCCGCCTCGGCCTCTCAAAGTGCTGAGATTACAGGCGTGAGCCACCACACCTGGCTAAAATTGGTTTTAGAGATGGGGTCTCCCTATGTTGCCCAGGCTTGTCTCGAACTCCGTGCACAAGTGATCCTCCCACCTCGGCCTTCCAAAGTGCTGGGATTATAGGCACGAGCCACTGCACCCAGCCCCTTTTCTTGTTTCTTACCTTTCTTTCCTATTTTCTTTCCTTCTTTCTTTCCAATTAAGGCGTAGATTGAAGTCAAGGTCTTTATGTGTGTCAGTTTCTGTTTTCTAATAATTATTTCTTAAAAACTATTGAAACATAATGATAACCACAGGCCCGTCTCCACCTCCACACCTAAGAAGCCCCAAAGCCAGATGTGTTCGTTAAAATCAGTCCAGATCTTCACCAAGCCACTAGATGTCATGTTAACTTCACAATAGAATACTGTGTGAAGCCCATGGGGAAGCCCATGGGAGAGCTGAAAACCTGCAACAACAACAGAAATCATCTAAATACTGCAAAAAAAAAAAAAAAGAGAGAGACAGAAGCATCTTAATATTTGTCCTTAATACATCATACCAGACTTCTGCTTCCAGAAATGACTGGATGTGGTTTTACTGGGTGGACATAATACAAAATGCAGCTACCTGAAAGCACTGGAAAGTGGACAGAGTGGGCAGATTCTGGTGGGAAGTTCATGCGTCAAGGAAAGACGTTATAGGAAGTGAGTGCCCATTTTTGCTGTTTTTAGCTTGGAGGCAGGTGCAGTCACTATGCAAAGGAGTGGTGCTGGTGGAAAAACAGCCATCTTTTCAAATGAAAGATTGAGCTCAGGGCCACTATAACTGCCAAAAGAGAGAAGAAAGAGTTCTGGAAGAGAAAGAACCAAAGAGAGCATCCCCAAATTCTTTCTGTTCCTGTCTGTGGCTGATCCCAAACCATGGACACACACAGCAAAAACAAAAGCATCTCATGCAGAGGCAAAAGAGTCTAAAAGAGACTGGACCTGCCACCTGAGAAACAGAGATTGAAGTTGAAGTTCAATCATGAAAAATGCCTTCTAACACAAATAACTATTAGAGGAAAGGGGTTCTCTTATTTGAACGTAGGACCTCCACCACTTAACATTTATAATGTGTACCATCCAAACCTACTCAACAGAGGAAGAACTGGAAAAGTGGGACCCATTCTCAAGGGAAAAGATAACTAAGATTCATTCCAAGATGACCCAGATGATGGAATTATCCATCAAGGATTTTAAAACTGCTATTATAACTATTCTCATGCTATAAAATCTACCACTTGAATCATACTTAATTGTGAAGAAATAAATTCTTTCCTCTTAAGATTAGAAACAAAGATGGCATGGTTACCCACTTTCACCACTTACACTGAATTTTGTATGATGGTCCCAGTCAGTTCAATATTTTTAAAAAGAAAGAAAAAAAGCAATAAAAGACATACATATTGGAAAGGGAAAAGTATACTGTCTAAATTTGCAAATGATAAAGTCATGGAGTGGTTTCTTAAAAAGTTGCTAGAACAATATGTGAGTTTACCAAGGTTAGAGAATACAAGGTCAGTATGCCAAAGTCTATTGAATTTCTATAGATTTGCAATGAACAATTCAAAATCGTTTTTAAGTTTTTTTTAACTTATTATAGTCTCTCAAATACTTTTTAAGAAAGAAAATGACAGAAGCAACCCATGTGCCTATTGATGGATAAATAAAGCATAATATATAAATACAATGGGGCCAGGGGTGGTGGTTCACATCTGTATCCCTAGCCCTTTGGGAGGCTGAGATGATAGAATCACTTGAGCCCAGTAGCTCAAGACAAGCCTGGGCAACATCTCTAGAAAAAATACAATAATTAGCTGAGTGTGGTGGTGCACACCTGTAGTCCTAGCTACTCAAGAAGCTGAGGTGGGGCGACAGTGAGCTGTGATTGCACCACTGCACTCCAGACTGGGTGACAGAGTGAGACCCTGTCTCAAGTACATACTTACATACTTATATACATATGTGGAATGCGATGGAATATTATTTATTCTTAAAAAAGAAAAAATTTCTGTGCTCGCTTCGGCAGCACATATACTAAAATTGGAACGATACAGAGAAGATTAGCATGGCCCCTGCGCAAGGATGACAAGCAAATTCATGAAGCGTTCCATATTTTTAAGCAACTTCAGCAAAGTCTCAGGATATAAAATCAATGTGCAAAAATCACAAGCATTCGTCTACACCAATAACAGACTTAAAGAAAGCCAAATCAAGAATGAACTGCCAGTCACAATTGCTACAAAAAGAATAAAATACCTT